AAGTTGCTCTTCTCTTCTCGGTAATGATGCTTACGGGAGACATACCACCGAATCAAACTATTTACATTAAGAACTTAAACGAGAAGGTCAAGAAAGAAGGTAACTTTTTTTTTTTGTTTTTGAAGATTTAAGCTAGGGTTTTAGCATAAATTCGAATCAGGAATTGTTAAGGCTGCAGAATTTCAGCTGTTTATGATCTTTTTATACATTTACGTGTTGTTGAATAGATGTAAATGGAAGGAAAATACCATATAAAGCCGTGGTGTATGAGTACTATATGGAGTTGTAAGTTGGCGAGAAGGTTTTAGAGAAGTCATAATATAAGGGTATCTAGAATATGTATGTTTATACCGGGTAAGGTAAAGGATAGAGTTTCAAGTGACTTGTAAGCGCAGATTGTTTTCCGTGAATGTTGGGTCAAATTCTGTAAGCCATGTACCTGAGAGGAGCTTAGTAAAGAAGAAGGGGTTTCTGTTGTTGGCGCCCTATTTTAGTTTAGTGGAGCTGGAGTTTGAGCAGTAATGGTGGTTTTTCCCAGTCCCATTCACCGTCTCTGTCTAAAGAATACAAGCCCTTTTGGGTGAATTGAATTCTGCAAAGGTAGGGGGTGTGATTAGTGTGAGGTTTTTAGAACCCCTATTTTCTATAAGAGATAAATTTTAGAATTAGAATGTTCCCGAATGGTGTTGGACTTCATTGGCGGACACCAACTAATTTGGGGATTGAACAGGGAAAATACCCTTCGATTTGATCAAGTTTTCTGGTGATCATTTCCTTCCTCTTTTTGTGCATTGTTGCCTCAATATCTATATTATTATCTTTGAATTGAGTGTTAAACTTGGCATGAAAAGAAATGTACTTATCAAGGAGAAATCATTAAGATTTGCTTTGTTATTGTTCTATGAAGTACCAAAACTTATGACTCTTATGCAACACTGACTTGAGAAAAGGTATTCTTATTACAACAGAGTTTTGCAATAGGACCCAATTATTGGATTGTCTATTTTCTTTTGCTCGTTTGTGCTTTCATATGCTTTTTTCTGTTTGCTTATGGTGCTCGTGGAGTTTTATTTTTATGTGTACTAGCAATGATGCCATTTTGAATTGTTGCTGTTATCTAATTTTGGAAAATGCCAAGCATACTCTGGCTTGTCTTTTGTATATGAGAAATAAATGTTGTATATAATTATGAACTCTTATAGTTTATAATGGGTTTGGCAACAGCTGTTTGCAGGAGGATTAGTGTATGCCCTTTGCTATATGGTAATGGTTTTTTCTTGTTTTGCAGAGCTAAAGAGGTCTCTGTATTGCTTGTTCTCGCAGTATGGGAGGATTGTCGATATAGTAGCTCTTAAGACTCCCAAACTTAGAGGACAATCATGGGTTGTGTTTAGTGAAGTAACATCTGCCAGTAATGCTGTGAGGCAAATGCAAAACTTCCCGTTTTACGACAAACCAATGGTGAGCATAATGACAGTTGGAATTGTGATCTGTTTCTCTTGTTCATTATTTATGTACTAACATGGCTGTTCTAGCTTAATTGTTCAAAACGTTCTGCTTCATTGTCCTTATTTTCTCTATCCATCTCCTGAAGTATGTGATGATCCTTTATCAACTTGTTATGTTTATGTGATATCCTTTGTCCTATCAGAAAAAGCTCTTACTATGTCTACTGTACAATAGTTCTCTACATGTATCTTTTTAGCTTGGCCTGCCCTGATTTCTGGTTTTATAGTCTGTCCATAAATCATGTATTCCTTCAAGATGTGGAAACATATTGCTGACTCCACACTTTGCTTAAAACCATTTTATAATTTTTGATAAATACCTGCACTTCATTAAAAATTATACCAAGTTATATTACTAAAACTAATGCTAATACAGTATTTGTCAAAAAGGTATGCCAAACTTTTTTTTACAGAATGTGGTAATCCTCACCCTAACCACCCTGCTCAGGAGCCAAATAGTGCCTTTTCCTACTTTGCCTCAATGGTGACTCGTACTCGCGATTGCATGGTTGGAGGTGGAGGCCCAGGCCCTTCTCACTAGGCTATCCATCCCTTGTCTGCCTTGGTTAAGATTTTTTGTTCGATCTTCTAATTTTTTTTTCCTGATTATGCTTGTGGTGGTATAAAATTGAAATATAGCTGCCTGCCTGAACATTGATAGACTATGACCTTAAGTCAAGCCATGAATTATTATTCTTATAAGGACCATGGAAACATCACACAAACTAACATGATACCATCTGGGCCCATAGGGTTCAGTATAGTGGTAAAAGTGCTTCATGTTGTATGTAGGTTATGGGCATGTCACATTCGAACTCTTGTTGAGGCAAAAGCCTAGTATTTAAGTGGTGAAGAGGAGACTGGATGTCCCATTATCCCTCAGAGTATCAAAGCATGCACCACTGGAACTCGGGGTTCAGTTATAAATAAAATAACACCATTATAAGACCTTAGATTGGATACATGTATGCATGTGCTTTCTGTGAATTGTCTTTCTGTATCAGTAGGAATGTGCAAGTTCGATCTTCTCTGGAGTCGGGACATCTACAAGCTCTACATAGCTAGCCAATGAAGTTATGGTCTAAAGCCTACAACAATCAGCTTAACCTTTACAAGCAAAAGAAACTGTGTAATAGGATAAAAAGAGTATCAGATTAATTCGATATGACCTGAAGTTTATCAACAATTAAATGGGAAGGGTTAGATGGAGGTTGCTGAAATAATCATACAGAGTAAAGCTCTGTATCTGTTACTCATTTTTGTCTAAATCCTTATCACCATATGCTTTTTAGGAAGAAACTCCTCAGCTTTGTAACAGTGGGACTTTTTTAGTTTAATTTTCTCTGGGGCTAAATGTTTGTATTAATTGCTTAAATTGGCTTGCTGTCCCAAAAAAATTTGGGTCGCTGTTGTTCATTTTACATGGTGTAGAATAGTAGAAAGGTCAGTGACTAAGCTTTTGATATAATGCAGCGGATACAATATGCTAAATCAAAGTCAGATTGTATTGCTAAGGCAGAGGGGACCTATGACAAGAAAAAGAAACAAGATGAAAAAGGTGACTTCATTCTGTTGTATATTATTCACCCGCTCCATTTCCTCTTAAGCTTCTCACTGGTTCCAAAGTGCATGTCATGGATAATCATCTATGGAAATGTTAAAAAGTGAATCTTATAGTCCAAGAGGAGCACTCCTTGCTGAAGCTAAGAGCATTCAAACAAACTAAATAAACATTAATTACTATTATAATTTCTGTTTACCTTTAAGATTTTACTTCTGGCGAACTTCTTTTGTTACAGCTCAGCTAAACGGAATATTTTATAGTTCAACTGAAGTGTCTTAACAGAATAGTACTAGATGTGTAATCCTCGAGTAGCACCTGTCATATTGATTGTGATCTTGTCTACTACATCCACTTACAATTTTCTCATCACTGTGGGTGCCTCATGTATCTGGACTAGTGATGGAAAATTTTGTTAGGAGTATTGTAATCATCCGCATGCATGCATGCATTTCATTTTGTCACAATCCTCGCAGTTTCCAAAGCTTGATAGTGTTGCAGTTTTGATGAACCACGTGTGTATTTGCATTGCATGTATAACTTTTAAAATCAATTTGTCAGTTATTTTGTCGACTTCTAGTGATTTGGACTAACTTGACTTACTAATATGTAGTGGAGAAAAGGAAACGTACTGAAGAAACTCCTCCGCAAACTGGTGCAGCTAATGGCTCAAGAACTGACAGTAACGGCGGAGGTCCAGCTGTAAGTTTGTTGCAACTTCATTATTTTTTTCAAGTATTGCTTCTTTTATTTGTTTTAGTTGTACAAAAACTTGCCTCTCCATTGTCCATAATTGTGTGATTGATAGTCCATATGGAACTTCAAATATAGTATGACCGCCTTTGTAATGACACCAAAGTAATGCGCTCACAGCCTGGTCATACTTACACCCATAGCTCCGAATGACTAGCAGCTTGACTTCATGACAACTTCTTATGTGTTACCGTTGATCTCTTTTTGTGAATATTATTATCTGAAATATATTCATCTATTATCTTCATTAATTTCATATTGTTGAACAACTTTTGCAGGCTGCATCTCGACAAGGAAAGCCAAGTGCTCAAGATGTTGCGGAACCAAATAATATTCTCTTTATACAGAATCTGCCCTACGAGACAACAAGTATGATGCTTGAAGTGCTCTTCAAACAGTATCCTGGCTTTAGAGAAGTTCGAATGATTGAAGCAAAGCCAGGTATTGCGTTTGTGGAATTTGACGATGATGTCCAGTCTTCAGTCGCCATGCAGGCCCTTCAAGGCTTCAAAATCACACCCCAGAATCCCATGGCAATTACCTATGCCAAGAAATGAGCATTCTTAATTCCAGTACATGCTGGGTATTGTATGTTCACCCCATAGGTCAATGTAGAAGGCACATGTATTATACACTTGAGCAGGCTTCTTTTGGGTCTTTGTAGCCAGTAAAAATGTTTTAAACAATTTGATTTTATGTACTAATCCTAAGAAAATATGTGTTTGGTTGTCGTTTTTCTTTCGTCACAATGTGAGTTGAATCAAATATTTGTTTTCATACATTAAGTATTTTTGCTAAGATAATGGATGATCGACAAAGCAAAACGCAAAAGGTGAAAGAGTGAATGCATTATAACTAGGTTCTCTGGTTTCACAATATGAGCTGCTAAATATTTTGCAAATTTTCATATTCTTCATTTTTCAATAGTGACTGCCAGAAGCTTTTTATATTATTAAATTATATATGAATATAACCTATATCTAATTGACGGACTAATGCACGTTCTATAAGTTGATTATTCAATAGTTATAAAATGATTAATAATGAGTTATGTGTGTAACTAAGTTGAATAATGTTTCATTTTTTTTAAACATTTGTTCATTATTAGAGAAAGGATAGAGACGAAAACGGAAACAGTGATGTTCATTTTTCTAATACACAATATTGCATAGTCTTTTGTAGTACTACTAGTTATATTAAATTTAACTTTTTCCTAACAAACAATATTTGGGCGAATAAGGTTTAAAAGTTAAATAAAACAAACTAAAAGGATTTTGGTGTAAATATTATTATAAAACATACAGAGGGGTACAAACTCTGCATGTTAATACTTGATATATATATATATAATAGAAACTTGGGAAGGTCTTGCTTTAGTTGGAGAAGTAGCCATTTCCCCTTGAGCATTCTCTTTCTCGTCTGGTAAGTTCAATTCCTTTTTTTTTCTCATTTCTTAGCTAAATAATCGACGTTTTTGTGTTAAAAAGATGAAGAGTAGTTTCTGGGTTAGCTAAAAATTTGATGTTTTTGTATTAGAAAATGAAGAGTAGGTTCTGGGTTACCTAAAAATTTGATGTTTTTGTGTTAAAAAAGCTAGTAGGTTCTGGGTTAGCTAAAAATTTGATGTTTTCGTGTTACAAGATGACTTGTAGGTTCTGGGTTAGCTAAAAATTTGATGTTTTTGTGTTAAAAAAGATGATAGGTTCTGGGTTAGCTGAAAAATTGATGTTTTTGTGTTAGAAGATGAAGAGTAGGTTCTGGGTTAGCTAAAAATTTGATGTTTTTGTGTTTAAAAGATGAAGAGTACTGGGTTAGCTAAAAATTTGATGTTTTTGTGTTCGTTAATGAAGGAAGCTTCATGACGTTAGGAAGAAGAAGAAAAATCAGTTAAGAAATAGCTAAGAAGAAGAAGAAGCAGTTAAGAAGAAGAAGGAAGAGTAGTTTATTCTTGTATATGGTGTGTTTTTCATGTACAGAGAATGAGCTGTATATATAGCTCTTTAACATGCCCAACTATTATCAACTTTGTAACTAACTAATTGAAAAGTAGTTATAACTAACTTTCAGTAAAAAGACTATTCTACCCTTTCTATATTCAACAACTTTTCTATATTACAACACTCCCCTTCAAGCTAGGAGGTGCAAAAATATTCAAAACCCCTAGCTTGGATAACAAGTGTTCATGTTGTAGTCTAGATAACCCTTTTGTCAATACATCAGCTGGCTGTTCTTTGGTATGAATGTACTCTACTTTAATCAGTCCCTTTTGTAACTTTTCTCTTATGAAATGGCAATCGATTTCAATATGTTTGGTCCTTTCATGGTATACTGGATTAGCAGCTATCTGAATAGCAGCCTTGCTATCACTGTAAACTTGGACTGGTACTTGAACCTTAGTACCTACTTCCTTCAACAATCCCAACAGCCACACCAATTCTGAAACAGTTGAAGCCAAGCTTCTATACTCAGCTTCAGCTGAGCTTCTCGACACTGTTGTTTGCTTCTTTGCCTTCCATGATATTAATGATCTACCAATCTTAATCATATACCCTGTCACAGACTTCCTAGTGGGTGGACAAGATGCCCAATCAGCATCACAGAATGCAGTAACTTGTCCATCTGAATCACTTGCCAATAACAGTCCTTGACCAGGTTGATTCTTTAGGTATCTGATCATCCTTAATGTAGTATCCAGATGAGACCTTTTTGGTTGCTGTAATAATTGACTCAATGTTTGAGTACTGAATGATATATCTGGTCTTGTCATATTCAAATACAACAACTTGCCTATTATCTTCTGATATGCTGTTTGATCAAAGGATCATCTGATTCTGCTTGCTTCACATGCTCATCATATAGTTTAGATGTTAGTTTGACATTGATGTCAATAGGTGTTCCTGCAGGCTTAGCTGCTGTTAGACCAACTTCAGCTATAAGTTCTAGTGCATACTTCCTTTGATGCATTAATATACCAGCTGCTGATCTGGTAAATTCAATGCCTAGAAAGTATTTTAACTCTCCTAAATCTTTCATCTTGAATGCTTGTTGTAGTGCCTTTTTTGTGTCTTCTATTAGTTTAAGACTACTGCCAGTAATTAGCATGTCATCAACATAAACCAATACTAATATAGTTCCCTCTTCTGACTGATTAATAAACAAGGAATAATCATGTTGACTTTGTTTGAACTTGAGATTGCTAAGAGCTTCAGTCAACTTTTGATTCCATTGCCTAGGAGCTTGTTTCAGACCATATAGGGACTTTGTTAGTCTACATACTTTCTCCCCCTGACCAACAAATCCCTGAGGTAGTTGCATATAAATCTCATCATCCAAATCACCTTGAAGAAAAGCATTGAATACATCTATCTGATGAATATGCCAATGCCTAGCTGCTGCAAAAGAAACAATGGTTCTGACTGTCACCATCTTAACAACAGGTGAGAAGGTCTCCGTTTAATCTATTCCTTCTTGTTGAGAATAACCTTTAGCCACTAGCCTTGCTTTGAGTCTCTCTATCTCTCCTGATGATTTGTATTTAACCTTATAAATCCATCTACACCCAATAGCCTTCTTCCCCTATGGCAGATCAGTAAGCTCCCAAGTATGATTACTTTCTAGTGCTTGAATTTCATGTTGCATGGCCTCTATCCATCTTTTATCTTGAACAATTTCTAGATAGGACTCAGGTTCCTTAACAACAGAAGTGGCTGCAATATAGCTTTGATATGTAGGGGAAAGATGATCATAACTCGTGTACTTTCCTAAAGAGTACATGACATCTTTGTTAACAGTCAAGGACACAATCTTTCATCCAAGTTGGTTTGAGTTTCTGTCTAGTAGATCTTCTATTAGTAGTAAGACTTGCAGACTCTTGATTCATCTCATTTCTACCATACCATCAGTTGGAACTTTTTCTACCTCATCAACAGAAGACAAAGTATGAGTCTCATGAGACACATTATCTTCATGAGACACAGTAGTGGAAGGACACCTGGGAATCACAGGATTTATACACTGTACATTACTACTTAGCATGTCTGAAATTTGCATAGGATCCACAAACACTCTTTCTTGTAATGAAGGCTCTATCTTTGTAAAAGGAAACACATCTTCTCTAAACACCACATCCCTACTTGTGAAGAATGATTTATCAGTTAGATCAAGAAGTAGATACCCCTTTTGTAACTCTGAATAACCCATAAGAACTGCTGGTCTTGATCTTGGCATCAACTTATCATGTTGTGTTAGAAGTTTAACAAAACACAAACATCCTAGAGTTTTGACATGAGATATTGATGGTTTACTACCATACAACCTTTCATAAGGAGTATTAAAATGTAGAACACTACTTGGTAACCTATTAATGATATATGCAGCAGTCAACATACACTGACCCCAATATCTGATAGGAATATGAGCTTGAAGTCTTAAAGCTCTGGTAACTTCAAGTAAGTGTCTATGCTTTCTCTCAGCAACCCCATTTTGCCGAGGAGTGTATGGACATGATCTTTGATGTAAGATTCCCAATTCTGTAAATAGCTTATGACATTCTGAGTTTACAAACTCAGTACCATTATCAGTCCTCAACACTTTAACCCTCTTTCCAAACTGAGTTTGAACATATTGCAGAAACATTCGAATGGAAACACACACAGCAGATTTATGTGATAGTAAAAACAGCCAAGTTACTCTTGAAAAATCATCCACAATTGTAAGAAAATACTTCTTGCCATCAACAGTAAATGTATTATAAGGACCCCAAAGATCAATATGAAGTAGCTCAAAACAAGCAGTACTTTTAATGCTACTATTAGGAAACACATTCCTTGTTTGTTTAGCAAATGGACATACAAGGCACTTAGAAATGCTACATGCACTTTGCTTATTCATTGAAAACATCCTTGCAAGCACTGTTGATGATACATGACCCAATCTTCTATACCATAACACCATGTCTGTCTCCTTGACATCATTAGCAGCAAATGCAGCCTCAACTTCCTTTTCTTGATCATTATACTGAGTAGTCAAATGCTTTATTAGCAAGTACAATCCTCCTTCCTCTTTACCAACTTCTTTCACCTTCCCACTGTAGAGTTCCTGGAAGACACAAAAATGAGGAAAAAAGGTAACAGAACACCCTAGTTCCTTAGTGATCTGACTTACTGATAACAAGTTATACTTGAAATCAGGTATGTGAAGCACATTTGATATAACACTCCTTGTTGATAGACTACAAGACCCAATGTGAGACACCTGAGTAGTAGTACCATTTGGTAGATAAACAGGCTTAAAGACTTCATGCACAGTGTTTTTAGTCAACATATTCAAACTAGACACCATATGGTTTGTTGCACCAGTATCTATAATCCACATATTACTATGTGCAGAAACAAAAGATGTTTTACCTGTATTGTTTGCACTATTACACATAAAAGTTGTAGGCTCAGACTTTTGTTGAATCATTTTTAGAATGTGATCATATTGATCCTTAATAAATGTACATCCTTGAAGCAACTGTTGAACCTCTTTCTCTACCGGACTCACTGTTCTGTTAACACTGAGAGTGGTAATCTCTGATGAAGATTGATACTGCTCAGATATATTTCCCCATCCCGGTGGAGGAACATTGGTGTTCATTTCATAAGTAAGATTTGCATGTGTTAATTGTGCCTGACTGTAGTTGTTACTACCAGTATTACCATATGCAGGAGAAGTTCCTTGCACTTTTCTTTTGGACTTAAAATCAGGAGGATAGCCTACAATCTTGTAACAAAATTCTTTGCTGTGACCCTTACATTTGTAAAAATCACATATCAACAATGTGTTTCTTTTCAATTTCTGACTTACATTGGAGCTGCTACTTGCTTTAGAATATAGAGCAACTGACTCCAATGCAGCTGAAATACTATTAACACCACTTACTACAGCCTTTTGACTCTCATCACCAACTATCATAGCATAGGCATAGTTAATTGATGGTAATGGATCCATCATCAAGATTTGACTCCTTGCTTGATGATAGGAGTCTTTTAAACCCATTAGAAACTGGTATAACTTCTGCCTATTCATATGAGCAACAAAGCCTTTGGATATTTCACAGTTACAACAAGGAGATGGCACCATCACCTCAAATTCATCCCACAAGCTTTTCAGCTTTGTATAATACACAGAAACAGAAACAGTACCCTGCTGTAGTGAAGTTATATCTTTGTGTAGACTATAAGTTCTAGAGCCATCTATTCTATCAAATCTTTCTTTTAGATTAGTCCAAACATCAAAAGCAGTAGAAGCAAATGCAATGCCACTTAGTTAACTCTTGGATACAGAATTCATTAACCATGACAAAACAATAGCATTCACTCTTTCCCATTGCCCCCATATTTCCTTACCAAACATCTTCTTTCTAGCAGTTTCATCAATCAAACCCATCTTATTTCTTCCTAGTAAAGCTATCTTAATAGACCGACTCCACAAAGTGTAATTCTCAACACCAAGCAACTGAAACGAGATAATACTCATTCCACTAACATCAGTAGGATTAAGAAACAAAGGATGGTTATAATCGATACCTTGACTCTGCCCAGAAATGACTTGTGAAGATCTGTTTTGGACTGAATCTTCATTTTCACCTTCAATTGCCATTTGAGATTTGAAAAACAATGATTCAGCAGTAATTCAACAAACTTGAACTTAAAGATCTTTTCAACAACACTTGAGAAACTTGTGAATCTGTGAATCAGTAATTGATTCTTTGATCTTGTGATTTCTCTAAAAAACAAAACTGTGAATCTATGAATCAACTGTGATTCTTTGATTCTGTGGATTCTCCAGCTTCATCAGTGTTTACTGAGAAGCAACCTGGCTCTGATACCATGTTCGTTAATGAAGGAAGCTTCATGACGTTAGGAAGAAGAAGAAAAATCAGTTAAGAAATAGCTAAGAAGAAGAAGAAGAAGCAGTTAAGAAGAAGGAAGAGTAGTATATTCTTGTATATGGTGTGTTTTTCATGTACAAAGAATGAGCTGTATATATAGCTCTTTAACATGCCCAACTATTAACAACTTTGTAACTAACTAATTGAAAAGTAGTTATAACTAACTTTCAGTAAAAAGACTATTCTACCCTTTCTATATTCTACAACTTTTCTATATTACAACATTTTGTGTTAAAAAAGATGAAGAGTAGGTTCTGGGTTAACTAAAAATTTGATGTTTTTGTGTTAAAAGATGATAGGTTCTATGTTAGCTGAAAAATTGATGTATTTGTGTCAGAAATGAAGAGTAGGTTCTCGGTTAGCTAAAAATTTGATGTTCTTGTGTTAAAAAGATGAAGAGTACTGTGTTAGCTAAAAAATGATTTTTTTGTGTTAGAAGATGAAGAGTAGGTTCTGGATATATATGCTTCAAATCCATTGTGTAAACCAAATGTTTAGAAGATGACCAGTAGCTAGCTTCTAGTTTCACAAATGAAGTCATTGTGTATTTCTTGTTATTTTGTTATGGTTGAACTAAGAAATATGAAATGTTAGACTTCATGATAATTGCTTTATTGTCATTTGTGTTCTGAAATCTATGTCTAATTCCATGACAATGCATTTACTTTTTTCCTTGTTACGATCGTATTAGGTTTTTTTGTTTTTGTTTTCCTGCTGATTGTATTTGTGTTCTTAAGATTGTATTGGTCTAATGTCATATGTAAACTGATTTGAATTTGGTTTTCTGCTGAGTGTATTTATATGGTAGGTAGATGTTTAGCCATTGCAAGAAACAACTGGAAATAAAGAGCCCCTTATGTGGATTCCTTTGTCTAAGAATAATAACATGATCTTATTCGATTTTTTTCGTGCTGATTGTATTATTCTAATGCCGTGGCACACATGAAAATTATCTAATTTGAATTGATTTTCTGCTAATTGTTTTCCTCTAAATGATGTATAAAGTGATATATGGTTAGGTAGATATTTAGTCAAGTTACACTTGCATGAAATCCATTCAAGAGATAACTATTGTTTGATGTTTATTTGGGATAATAATGAAACTTCTGTCCAGGGATGGATATCAAATCTATTAAAGATTTATTGGAGCAGATGTTGAACCAAGTTCAACATCAACATACTGGGGATTCCAAAGATGTATATGAAATGATAGGGAAGCTAGAGCAGATTAAATCATATCTTTTAACCGAAGGTAATAATCAAACTATGTTTATAATTTAATTTTTTTTTTGTCTAGGTACTTTTTTTTGCTGATCAAATTTTGATATATTTCTTTGATAAAGCAATGCATAGCAATGTATTTTCTGGATTTCCTTCCCTTCATTCACCTACACCTCAACAACCTTCTCCTCCAGTAGCTGACCAGCAATCATTAGTATCAAATCAACAAACTACTCCTCTGATAGCTGGCCAGCAAGTAATGACACAGGCAGTAGACACTGTTTCTCCCATGAACTTGGGACAACCAACACCAATTGTGGTTCAAAATCCACAGCCAGCTGGCCCCTTTTTCAGGCATCCAGTACATTGGCAAGTAGTTGATGAGAATCTGTTTGATGCCGTCGACAAACCTGTTCTATGGTTCAGCAAGCTGGTCACAGAAAATATGCAAGAGGTGCTTACTGTTCCACCTAAGAAAATATCGTACTTGGTGAAAGGAAGCCCTCTTTCATCATATGCGCATTCTCCTCTGTTTACGGGCATGAGCCTACCTGTTGCACTGCACTGTAGTAAACTAGAAAGCATGATTGGTGGTGCTCCAGGATTGCTGTATAACAAAAGCAAAACTACAATGCATATATACTGGCCCTCCGTTAGCAGCTATTTTAAGATACCAACCATGATTGATGTTTCGTTTCAATGGAAAAAACATGGTCCGAGACATATGTTAATAGTCAAAGTTGAAGAGCAAGGTAATTAGTTAGGACTTCATGATTTTTGTCTTCCTTTATGATTCTTCTATAGTTTTTTTGTTTAACTAGGTTATTTTCTTGCTCACCCATTTGGAACAGGAGCAGGACCATCTGAAGCTGGAGCTGGAGCAGAGCCATCTGGAGCTGGAGCATCAAAACGTTCTAAAGTAGGTGGCGGCGTTTGAAGAGACTACGAATTTCTGCATCACAGATGTAATTTTCATTTTGTCCATCTATTATATGGTAAGTATTGAAGTGTTTAGTCTTCCAATCTTCTTTTTTTTTTAAAAAAAAGGGGCGCCTTGGCCAGAGACTACTGTTAGTAATACAGAATCAGAGGTGCCAGAACAAAACCTCGTTGCCCAAGAAAAGGGTCCATATGGACTAAACTTAATCATCATATCATAAATAATTTCTTTTGTTAGAACTAGAAGTACATCCGTTACTAATTTGTTCATAACAACACCAAGTAGAAAGGCAGTACAACTAAAATAATATTATTATTATGTTTCTAAAAAAAGATTGGTTGTCAAGAAAATAAGTTCAATGAAGAAAGGAAATAAGATATTTAAAGTTCACACACATTCTCCCATATATAACTACAACTACATGAATTCAGATCAGTATATAGTATCGTATATTGGGTTTTAGCAAACTGTGAATGAGAAATAAGAAATGAATCAGAAATTGGAAAATGTGAGAGACCAATGAAAAAGTCATATCTCCTGTATTGGAAGAAGAAATGACAAATGTTGTCCTCATATTAGGAAACACGTCATTTAGCGAGCTAACTAGAAGGTACCCTTACGCCATTGTCGCAAATTATTGAAGTTTGAGGTATTGCTATTATTCTTTGATAGTTAATCCATTTTTGCTATTTTTTGAAGTTTGAGATATCGCTAGTTAATCCGTTTTATTTTGGGATTAAATTTTTTAAGGATACATTGTGAATTTAGATTATTTATTTTCTATCTATTTGGTCTTTTCTGTTTCTGTTTTTACTAACTTGAATACCTAAGATAACTTTCAAAGAAAACTTAGTGCTTAATTGTGTTTGAACAACCATTGAAGGAGAAACTTAACTATTGATGAGGTTCGTTAGTCTTTCATGTGTAATATTACATATTACGTACCTTTTACGCATAGAAAAAATTAAAATGCAGTGAAAGTTCATTAGCATCTGATAAAGAGTCCATGTTATAAATAAAAACTATGTGTTGTAACGGTTCTAATTCTATTAAAATTATATATCTGAAGTTTATTAATTGTGTTTTATGTTTTATGTAATGAAAATTTTTAAGGATGTTTAACTCAAATAAGAAAATATAAATAATAATTTTTTTTAAAAAAAAAATTGATTTCAATACAAATGACATCAACTCGGATTTAGAGCCTGTTTGACAATATAGGTGGGAGGCCCAAAACACTCATTTAGAAAAAGAACCCTTTTTGTTGAAAAATTAAGTGTTTGATAAATGAGCAAGCTTGCTTTTAAACGAAAGCAGAAGCAATTTTTCGCTGTTGGAAAAAAAGCTATGTACAAAAAGCAGAAACAAAAAATTATTTAAGAATAAATATCTTTATCATATGTAATATTTAACGATATATTTCTTATTAATTAATTAACATATTTCATAAATTTGGTTAAATTTCATTTAAGAATTTAGTTTTTATTTTATGTAATAAATTTTATAATTTATTTTATAATTATATATTATATATTATTTTACGCATTATTTTTGTAGACAAAAAAACAAAAAAAAAATATTTTTTCAAGATTAGAAAAAAGAAGAATAAATTACAATTAAAGATTTCAGTTTCCCAAAAGAGTACTCCTATAATATTGATTGAAAATTTAAACATATAAAGTTTTAATTTTAAAAAAATAAAAATTAATTATCTTTTCTAATAATAAATTTAATAATTTCTCGCTAAAAAGTTATTTTAATATTAGAAGTACATTAATAGTTGTCTTTTTTTATATATATAGTTTACTCTTTAAAGTACTTTTTTAAAAAAATTAATTAAACTCAATTTACTTATGAAAAGTACTTGTTAAATCAATTATCAAAACACAAATTATTTTTTCAAAGCACTTTTCTAAAAAAGTTCGTTTAATAAAAATACTTACAAAAATAAGTTATTGTTAGTGGCAATGCAAAACAAGGGCATCTCCAATTTTACATCAAATTTGGCGTCATAATCAAATTTGGTGTAACCAACTCTAACCATTACACCAAATTTTACATCAAATCTTTCTTTATTATTATATTATTATTTCTTATTTTATATTATTTTCTTACATAAAATAATTTTCTTTCTAAAACAATCATTATATATAATTTATATATTTTCTTTTATAATCGTTTAATATAAAATTATTTGCAGCATAGTTTTTTAAATAATATAAATTGCTAGCAAATATTATACAATGAAATGAAATCATTGATGGAATTAAATAAACATTACATAATTGAAAAAATTGTTTTAAATTCTATCTAAATATTCAACTTTCAAGATCACTACGTTGCTCCCACAAGTGCTATTTATGAATTAATGTTCATGAATTTGTTCGACAAGAACAAAGTCGAAGAATGAAAAAAGGAAGTCAACAATTTCAACAATCGTAATCACAACCATAACAATTTTTTATCCCATACAATTCATATTTTAATAGTATTGATGAATCTGGAAAGAATCTATCAGATTATTAAGTTATTATTATAATTTTTTAAAATTATTATGTTTTGTTGTATTTTTTAGAATTACAATGTATTTTATATTTCAATTTTAATGTATGTAAATTACTACTTTATTGAATGTTTATTATTATTGGTTATTTTTAAGTACATTCTATTATTTGTTTAAAAAACCATATGTTTGCATTTTTAATTTTTGTGAAGATTAATTGTAGGAAACGTAAGATGGTCAAGTCCACTCAAGATGAAAAGTGCAAGGCAGCTAGTAGCAAATACAGGGGTGGATTTACATGGATACGAAGAGGTTCGGATAAATTCCCTTCGTTGAATAAATTATATGGTATATATAGGATCAATTTTTTGATTTATACGTATATACTTAGTGCGTAAGCCGATGGCTTGATTCAGTGGTAAAGGGGGTTCAAAAATTCGCTAAATAAGTGCTAGGTTTGCAGGTATGATTTCATATAACAACGTTTTCCCCCCATAGTTTCAAGAGATTTTCATGTTATTTCTAAAAAAATGAAAAGTCTGTTTGTTTGAAAATCTATTGGAATTTAAAATATTTTATTAGATATTAAAAAATAAATTTCTTTTCTATTTTCATAAAATTAAGTAAAACTTAAAAGCTTTTTAATTTTTCAATAATTAAAGTTAATAAATACATGCTCTCATACTCAATTTAAGTCAAACATTTAATTTATATTTGATTAAGGAATAATATAATTTATAAGTAAGATTAAATAAATAAGAGTAATTATTTAAAATTTACAAGTAGAAACGATTGTCTCAATATTATCAATCTTGATAATTATTTTCTCGACGCGAATTTTGTTGCTACAATATGATCAAATTCAGAAGTATTCTTTAGTTTCAAAAATTGAATAACGTTTATATACAACAATGACACAGATAAGACCCTTAATTATAATTTTAACAAATACGTTCTCTCGTACTTATTTTAATGTTATTCTAAATATATACTTACTCGATTTTATTGTTTTAGTTGAGATAAAATTGATTTTTTTAGTTTCTGATCCGACCTATTTATATTTGACCCGTTCCACCCTTTCCACTCATATAGATACTATTAATGTGCTTACTTATTTTTTTTAAACCCCTGAAAATTCTGTCTCCGCCACTGAGAAAATATGGGTGGCGAACAGTTTGCACATTTTGCTCATCTAGTTCAACTTGCACAGTATGAGAATTAAGGCAAATGTAGTGCATCTTTCACAATCCTATGGCCTATCTGGCACAAGCTAACACCAGTTCTTGGATATTAGATTCAGTAGCGTCACATTACATTAGGCGTGAGAATTTCAGTTCATAATAATAAATGAGTCCATTTTGTTTATATTTTTGGATCACTCATATTTTAATTGGTTAAATTTGAGCTTCAAACTATTTTAAGAGTCTTTATAAATATGATCAAAATGAATTAAATATGGGTATCCATTTGATCCATATTAGATCACTTATTTTCACTTTCACTCAATATTAATATTAATATTTCAGAAATACATTAATATTTGACCAGGGGGTTGGGGTATGTGGAGAGAGGTACATTTATGTTTTTGAAAAACAAATTTATTTAAATGGGTTAGAATCAATTTACCCAAACATATATGACCAAATCCATATTTGCCCATATTATATTTGAATGGATTGTAATTCAAATCATTTTTTTCTTAAACTATATTCAGCCCATACAAATCCGATCAAATCCAATGTACAAGCATAGCACAGGAAATAGGCGTATGACCCAATCTCCTGTGCTATGCTTGTACATTGGATTTGATCGGATTTGCATGGGCGTATGACCCATTCTTCCTTTAGAATGTGTATCAAATGCTCTTAAAGGAAGACCTAGTCTTTTGCTTTGCTAAGATCACATCAAATTATTCACTTCCATCAAAGTAGGAATAGAAGTGGTTGCAATCTTTTTCTGTTACTGCATTTTATTGAAATGTGATCTGTCTTTGGTTTTTTCTTGTTCTTAGCAAGTGTAAAAGGAGCGCAAACATTTGTTCTTAATTTTTCGTTATTGCTGCACTTGAATACTCTACTCTCACCAGACCTCAGTAGGTTGTTATCGTTGTTTAGTTAACAAATTGTCCGATAATCAAACCTTTTTTCTTCTGGATTAGTAGGCATCGTACCAAGAAAATCTTCATGGAAAATAAAAAACAAGATGTCATTTCTGTACCCAAAGAAGTTGTTATTGAGATATTACGAAGAGTACCTGGCCATGATTTGGCTGAAAAGTTAAAGATGGTATGTATGCAATGGTGTTCGATTATACATACTGGGAGCTTTGCCTACTTACATATTGAACAGAGAATAAAATCCTCGTCGTTCTCTCAAATGGAAGCAGTTATTGTTGCTTTTGACGGAAATGAAAATCGTTCAGTTAAAATTTCTTCCTTGGAATGGCACACTAATGATAATGAAAATGATCATCTATTTGAAGATTGGAAGACTAAACACTTATGCACTGCAAAAGATGCACTATTAGGCCAGAACTTTAATCGTTTGCAGAACATGGTATGGGCCAATTCTGTGAATGGTTTCGTCTGTTTTTGGTCTTATTTTGATAAACCTCGTTTGCATATCTTCAATCCTGTCACTAAAGAATACCTCATAACTCCACCGAATACATATCTAGGTATTTCTCTTGGTGAATAACATATCTCTTCAAAATGACACGATCCTTATTTTATCGCCTGTTTTAATTCTTTGTGCTACTTATATAACAGGGGTACGAAATTTTGATTTGGATACTACTGTGGGCTGTGGATTTTGCCCAGTTTCATATGAATACAAGGTTGTTGTTCTTGATGGAAATTCGGAAGTGATTAAGCCTTCGATTTTCACTATTGGAACTGCCCATTCATGGAGGGCTTTGAGAGTAATTCCTCATCACAATATTATAAATGTTGTTACAATTGTATATTTGAAGGGGATGTTATATTGGTACGTAACTTCTACAATTGAATATTCTTTTCATACAACAAGTTCAAAAAGTACTCTCCTTTGTTTTGATGTAAGGAAGGAAGAATTTGATACGATTGTGGTACCAATTGAAATTCCTGAACGTTCTGTATCAAATGTAGTAGAAAAGGGCGAAAAGCTTTGTTTGGTAACAATAAGTTATGCTCCTATTTGCTCCCTCTTGATCAACGTATACGTTAACATTGATGATGATGATCTGAGTAACTTAAATTCGTGGAAGAAAGAGTTCACTGTGACTGCTCCGAGTATTGCATATAAATTGGATCTAGATGATAATGTGTACACCCTCATTGTTACTGATGAGATCGTGGTGATTCAACTTGGTGACAGCAATGACCGTGGATTTTTCCATGTTGCAACTGGAAAGCTGTTGGGATTACTTTGGACTAGGCACGGTACTTTGATCCCTTACAAGTCAAGTTTGGTTGCTTTTTGCCATCGACCACTACTTCCTTCCTTGTCTTGAACTATTCTTTTTGATGCACCGCAAAATCACACGAGGAGAGGTAACTCACGCTCTACCAACCTAAGACCCTTATTCGAAATCACCTTTTATGTCACGCTTTAAATGGTTTTTTTTACATTCATTTACATAATTTTTTATGGCTCGTAATTACTGTGGGGTTCATTCCCATGTACCAAACTTTGAATAACTTTGTGTCAATTTCAAAGTTTGGTAGAGTTGGTAATCTATGAAGAAGAAAAAATTGTTTTCTGCCAATTTCAAAGTTTAGGAGAGTAGGTAAGCTATGAACAACAAAAAATATTTTTCTTCTATAGCACATTTGGAGGGTGGAGGGCAATTCTTCATTCTAAGTACACCAAAAAGAATTACAAAAGAGAGAAAAGAAGAGTCAGACATCACAGAGGAAGATATTCTGTGAGAAAAATTAGAGAGTGTGAGCGATATTGTAGTGAGGTGAAAAAATCAAAAGAGTGTTATTTCTTTTGAAAGTGTAGTGATCTTTGGAGTATTACTCAGACATACAAGTGTAAAATCCTTACTATAGTGATATTCTTTGCTCCACTCGGGTCGTGGTTTTTCCCTTATTTAGGAAGGTTTTCACGTAAAATCTTCGTGTCATTATTCCTCTTTTATTCTCGTTGATTAACCGCATTGTTGTGTTCCGCATTTATTGCCTTTATTACCGCAAATATTATTTCTGTTATGGATTTATTCCCAACAATTACAACACAAAAAGAAAAGTTCAAAAATATATACATTAATTTACTTTTGTTAGACCAACATTTTCGTAATCGTCATGTTACTTGTAATCTTAAGAGTCTGGGTTTGAGTCATCAAACAAATAAAAAGGATGAAAATTCCTAAAGAGGATCAAAGTAGAATAAAAAATAACAACTCAGTCTATCTATGGTGAATAGGAGGAGGAAGCAAGTAGTGGGCGGTGGCGCAGAGCAACCAAACTTGGCACATATGGGATTGCTGCAGTTACAAAATAAGGCAACGGAATTAAACCCAACAACTTGCCATTTGTTACGTGAAATAAACCCCAGTTTTTTTTATCAAGTTGAATCAACAATATCTCATCAGTAATCTTTACGAGATACACATCCCCAAGTCCGTCCATTCTGTATGCAATACTCGGAAGAGTCACACAAAACTTTATCTTCCATGAATTTAAATTACTCAGATCATCATCAATTCTATCTGCAACATATCCCTTGATCATGAGGGAGCAAATAGGAACATTATATATGTTTACCAGATAACCTTCCTCTGTTTTCCGCTACAGTTAACGGTCCTTCTGGAATTTCAATTGGAGCTACAACTATTTCGAATTCTTCCTTCGAAACATCAAAGCAAATAAGAGTGTTAACTATTTCTTCCCCAATAACATTTTCTCCAGACCAGTATAATTTTCCCTTCAAATATACAACTGCCTGAACTTCATTAGCAAAATTTTTATGGGGAATATCTTTCAAAGCTCTCCATGATTTGTCTCTTCCTATAGTGAACACTAAAGGTTTAATGTTATTCGAATTTGTATCATAAAGAACAACCACCTTATATTCATAAGTAACTGGACAGAACCCAAAGCCCATTGCAACATATCCATTCTGTAAACCTGTTATATGGTAAGCATGCACTTAATATTTGAAAATTAATAAAGAATTTCAGTATTTAATCGAGCAAAGATTGAACTTTGGCGTATAAAGACTATATATAGATATACCTTTATGTGTATAGGTTGGAGTGATGACATGTTCTTTACTGACGGGATTGAAGATATGGAAACAAGCATCATGCCTAGACCAAAAACAGATGAAACCATTCATAGAATTCGCCGTCTTCATTATCTGCCACTGCCACAGATGCAACATAGGTCTTGGTTGGGCAGATACGATTTTTGTTGTATATAAGTCTTTAGTCTCCCAATGTTCGAATTCATCACGATTTTGATTGCAATAATTGTGCCATTCCAAAGAAGAAACTGTTATTGACTGTTGATCATTTGCCTCCTTAATTATAACTGCTTCAAGTTGCGAGAACGATGATGACTTTATTATCTGCTTAATGTGTGAGTAGGCAAAGCTTCCACTATAGATAATCGAACACCATTGCATACACACCATCTTTAACTTTTCAGCCAAATCTTTTCCTGGTACTCTTTGTAATATCTCCATAACAACTTCTTTGGGTATAGACATCACATGTTTTTTCTGTCTCTTGCATATCTTTGTGATTTCCATTCTTTGATTTCTGAAAAATCAAATATTTATAATATGATTCATAATTTGTACTTCCATAATATATAACAAAGCTGTTGAAAATATATTTAATGTTGAAAATGTCAAAAGACATACATAATTGCACAAAGTAGTCTAGGTAAAAGTATGATAAAGAACCAAACATGTGTTGCGGTGCAATGATGGGAGTGTTTCACCGTTAATCAGAAGTCTCAAGTTCGAAGGTTGGGTATTGAAAAATTTTTGATGGGAGCACCACACTCGGATGCAGCGCGCGATTCAAATTTAGTTGGAGCTCCAATGTCAAGATACCGGTGCGCGATTCAAATTTAGTCGGAGCTTCAATGTCGAGATACCGGGTGGGAAAAAAAAGTATGATAAGAAGGTTATCCCAATTACTCCCTCCGTCCGGAATTGTTTGTCATGTTGCGCTTATCGAAAGTCAATTTGACTAACTTTCAAAGGTAAATTGAATCACATTAATTCGATATTTTAAACAAAAAAAATTGGATATTTTAAAACTATATGAAAAGTATTATAAATTACAATTTTTTGCATAATATGATGAAAAAATACATCTTAAAATGTTAGTCAAAGTTTTTTTATAGTTTGACTCTAAAAATAGAAATCATGACAAACAATATCCGACGGAGGGAGTAGCAATGTTAAAAGAGTGCATTGGAAATAGGGGGCGACCGACATGGGGTCTAAGGGGTTCATCCGAACTCCCTTGATAAAAAATTACACAGTATATATAAGGTAAATATTGTGTATTTATGTGAATATGTATATATTTTGAACCCCTTTAATGATAAAAATAAATTAATGGCGGGATAAATTAATAGCCCCGCCGCAAATTTCCTTGAAATTAAGCTCCATGTTGAGGGTTCAAATCCCTTCCATGCTAATTCTTAGGAAAGACCCTCAAATTAATCCCAAGGCAATATATAGCTAAAAAAAATTAATATTATGAACGATAAAAGATGGGTTATCAAGAAAACAAATCCAATGAGCTAAAAAAATTAATTTTATGAACGATAAAAAACGGGTTGTCAAGAAGACAAATCCAACGAATTTACATAATAAAGCAAATAAGATCTTCAAAAAGTTTGCATACATTCTCTCAACTTTTTTGTAGTTGGATCATTTAAATAAGTAGAATTATATAAATTCATAATATATAGTATAATGTACCTGCGATCACTTATTTGAGAAAATTTAGTGCCTAATTGTGTTGAACAACGAGAAAATCAACTGTTGATGAAGTTCGTTAGTTTTTCTTGTGTAATAAATTGCCCCTTTTATAGATAGAAAAAAATTAAGAGGAAATTCTGTTTTGTAATAGTTCTAATTCTATTAAAATTATATGTCTGAAGTTTATTTGTGATTTATATAATGCATAATTTTAGTGATATTAAGCCATAATATTAAATCAAATTAAGTAAAAAATTTAATAGTGAATGACATCAACTCGGATTATGCAAGGGAAAGAGGAGGCATTGTGTTAAAACCATAAAGTTGACGCAAGTTATGCATAACTTCATAAATCACTGGGAGGAAAGTGTAGTTTATTTAACAAGGATCTCTTTTAAATTTACCCAAAATTTAACTTAATAATTATAAAAATTGGTAACTATTCCAATTTGCAATTGTCTTTCATACGTGTATCTCACGTGGATTCTAGGAGATCTATTAATATGATACCTTCAGTTTTGGTTATTTCTTGTAGATTGATACGTGATTGGTAATAATGGGACGGGTCTTTCGGAAATTATTTTTCTGTTTCACAATATATAAATAAGGTTTAATAACATTTTTTACAATTTTATGACGTATTTGATACATGCTAACACCAGCATTATATCATATGTTTAATGATCACGTTTACTTTACCACTCTCATCCCATTTATCTCCTCCTTTACTTATTAGATTGCCTTATTCTTTTTAAATTTTCATTTATTAGAACTCCTTTTAGGCCTTATTGTTTATTTTGTTTTGTTTTTCCCTAGTTGACACATTATATTCTAAAGGAAGACCTAGTCTTTTGCTTTGCTAAGATCACATCAAATTATTCACTTCCACCGAAGTATGAATAGAAGCTTTTTGCCATCGACCACTACTTCCTTCTCTTGAACTATTCTTTTTTTTATTACCGCAAAATCACACAAAGAAAGGTAAACATACCAAGGCAAGTCACCTGTGACGAGCTCTACCAACCTAAGATCTCTATTGGGAAAATTCCTTTGACTTGACAACTTTGTGGGTCATAACTATTCTGTAGGAATTGTTTTATTTAAAGTAAGAAATCAACATTTATTACATGTTTAAATTATTTTTATCATTTCAATTTCATTGTAATTTACATTATTTTTAATGGCTCGTAATTTCAACGCAAAGTTAAAAAAGAATATTAATATTAATTTACTTTGTTAGACCAATACTTTATAATCATAACGTTACTGATGATGTTGAAGTCATCAACATCGCAGGGAGGAAAGTGTAGTTTTTATGTAACAAGAAGGAGCTCTTTGAAATTAACCCAAAATAAAATTAAAAAGGGAACGCGGAAAATACAAAATTCGAACAGACTATAAATTAGGGCAGTTTGAAACCTGCAGCTCCTCATTTCCTTCTCGTGAAGATGTCAACTGCAGTTTCGCACCAAATCTCCCTTTTCAGATTCCAAGTCGAGAGCCGTAGGTTTGTTTTCGATAATCAAAACTTCAATTCTGATTCAATAAAATGCACTTGTGAGCATGATTTTTGTGCAGACTGGATGAAGGAGCTCTTCGAATTCTCGAGTCCGTTTTAGCTTGGGACGATTACAAATCTCTGGACGGAGTGGTATGTATTTTGAAACAGTTCATGAGACACGAATCTCTCCGCATTATTGAGGAAATCGCTGGAAAAGCTGCAGAGCATAAGCTTCTGATCGTAGATTTTCTAGTTCGCGTTTTTGCTCTCATCGGAGATACTGAGGTATACAGCTTTGACTCTATCGATTTCAAATTGGTACATTTGACTTTGATTTGATTATTTGGAAACACATAGTTACTAGAAGACAGAGATAATCGGAAAGAACAGTAGTTTTCAGTAGGATGATGTTGAAGACACTGATGAATTAAACCATGTATTTTTGTGGAATTTGTGATAAGTTGAAGAGCTGCTTGAAATTTTGTAGCCTGTTGTGTTCGGTATTTGTTTTATCTTCGAAAGATAATCTCATGCTAATATTGTTTTGCTAAGGAAGTTATATCCGTAGTTTTAAACTTTTAGTGTTCGAATGCACTTCAAATAAGTATTAGTAGTAGACACAGATAACTTATATTCCTGTACAAGTGGCTGTGATTTTGATGGTGGAGGCAGGTGGTAATGTGAGTAGTACAAGATGTAAACAATGACTGCTGTATGCAGAGAAAATTGTATCTGTAAAGGAAATATATCCTTCCTTATGTATATACAAAAACTCTTTTCGGTTAGAGTTTGTGAAAATGAAGTAATCAGTAGAAGTGACATTAAGGAACACGAGACCTGTCTATCCAATAAGTGTAATGATTGGATAGCTTTCATGGTATATTAAAAACAATTTGACAGAGCATGAGGTTAAGAGTTAGCTGTAGTCTTCAACAGAACGTTGATGTAGTTGACGAGAATTCATCTGATTTTAAACATCACATCATGCTTTAAATTGTCCTTTTGAAATTTGTGAAAGCTGCATACAAAATTTATCAGAGTTAGTGTGTCGAACATTTTGGGACATCCAAAGTGTAGACATATCCTATGTTGTGAAAGCTTTAAGAAACCACAACTATTGATGATTTTATTCTTCTATTATAGAAATTCTGGTTTTGCCTTTTTATTTTCGGTTCCAAACACGTGACTTTTAACCATTGGGTATACACAGAGTTGCTTGGCGTTGAGATATGAAGCATTGCTTATGAGAGAGCAGAAAGCAATCTGTGATCAGAGGCTTCTTGTTTCATATAGTGAGTGGCTCACTTTTGCTGAGCATTCACTTGAAAGTGGCTTTTGTTCCATCGCAAAGAAGGTAAATTTCTGTCAAAATTTTGGGCACTTGTAAGTATTTTACACGTGCAAATGATCAAGGAACAAAACTAGTATATGCTGTCCATTGAAAATTTATGCTCAGGTCAGAGTTAATGCTAAATGCTACTTCTTGTACTGTTATGTTTCTATACTTCTGTGATCATAGCTTGAAGGGTCTTATCATGTCATATTGTTTTCCATTTTGGATGTGTTTGTAGGTTCTATCTCTGTTAATTTACCTGAATAATTTGATCTGTCATTCAGATGCTATTGTGGAAATCACTAAACTTTGTTATCTTTATGCCTCTTGTTGGAAATTTGTTAGATGCAAATTAAGTACGGTTCTTTTGCATTCTGAATTAGGAATTAGACTCACTGCTGAAAACATCTTGTTCTAATTAGCCTCCTCCACCTCAGCAATTAGTCCTCCTTTGTCTACTTCAGAAATACAATATGGACAGTTTGTCATGGCCTTATGTGTAGTGAAAGTTATGATAGGAATTAGATCAATCTAGCTGTGCAACTATTGCATGTTTAACATCTTGCCGACACTAAGAGCATATGTTTTTGACTTGATGCTATCTATTTTGTACGTTTATTTTGAGCCTGGTACCTTATGGCTTCATAAATATTGTGAAGTTACAACATCCTACTGCTTATAGTAAGTGTATTCCAATATCTACCTCTGACCTTTACTTTTCAGGCATGTGAAAAGGCGCTCTTATGTTTTGACGTGAACATCGTAGATGATCCTGAAAACTATTTCGTAATTGAAAAAATTAAGAATCTTAAAGATGTTGCTGTGATCTCAGCGTCTTCAAAATCTGGTATGTTCAAATATTTCATTAGATCCCTCCTTTGTTTCATAGTTAATGCTTTGCCGTTATATGTTCCTAACATGAAAGTGAAATGAATTTGGTGGAATGACATCAAAGTCTTCCATTAGATCATATGTAACTGGAAGGGTGGTGAAGGGAAAGCTAATTATTAACTATTCATTACTGCTAAAGCTTTCTTGTGGCACATTAGTTCAGGCTCAGGCAGCAACGTACTTCAAGAACAAGAATATTCAGCAGAACTCACAAGGATCCTACGTTCCTGTGGAAGCTAAAAGTTCAGGAAGCACTCTGTTTAGAGATGGAATCAAAAGAAGGCACAGACGCCAATTGGATGAATACCGACATCTGAAACTGAGTGGAATAACTGATGGAAACATGCAAAATATTTTGGTAGGTCAATATGCTAAGTAAAAAAGATCTTATTTAATTTCGTCAATTGATTACAATTGATAGTGCAGGAATGATTTTTCTCTGAAGTAATACTATTACGGAGTCACCAATATGATCAAAGATTAACTTCTCTTCTTATTGGTTAGTATCTTGGAAGGTAATTACTCTGATAAATATACCACAACACCATTGCTATGATATGTTTAATACTTATTAAAAATATGGTCTTATAACAAAAATATTGTGCTGTGGTAAGAACCTCTAGTTTCATCTATTGACTTTTTTGTTTCTTGTCTAACTGAAAGAGAATTTGTTTCATCAATTGAAAACTCTTCAAAATTTATTTTTGTACCATAATAAGCAATTTTTTGCATTTTTAAATTACTGATAATGAGACAAGGTCAGACTGCTTGCCTTGTCTCTTCTCGACCTTGGTCCTGCAATAGGAACCTAGCATGCTGGTGATAAGCCTTCAATAAAATATATTTCTTAGGGAATCTGTAATTAAGTCTAAGCAACAAACAAAGAGTACATTTGCAGCAAGATATTAGCTTCAGCCCCTCTCCATGCAATCACGTGCCTATGCAGTTGATTGTTTTGTCAATTTTTAGACCTTCGCCAAATTGGATAGGTGTAACTTACTAGTCAAAATCAGAGAGTTGGATTAGTAAGAAATTTTGACTCTAACAATTAGGAATTTGTATACCTTTTTAGAAATCCAAATCTTCTTTCTTTATATAATTGTATCACTTAAAGAATCAAATATCATGCACCGTTTTGAACAGGAAGAATTAGGTGCGGATATACGATACAGGGTAATACATAGATAACAGGTTGATCGAATACAGTTGCTTAGCATAAATCTTGTATGCGTTAAAACTCTCACTAAATTGCTACTTCCTTCGTCCTGATTTGTGTATTTTCTATATTCAATAACAAATTTAATTTTAAAATGCTTAATTTATTTTTAATGATATGATTTACAATCGCATAAATATTTATAATTATATTTTTTTACTTTTTTAATTAAATATTATCATATAAATTGATACAAAGTCAATACAAATAATAGATTCAAAATAATAAATTATTGACTATAATAAAATATAGAGTTTGAATAGATGAAGTTCAAATCTAAATTCGCACTCGGGAGAGAATGATGTGATGAACCCTCCATCGACTGTGACTGATTTCAGGCTCTGACGTACTCTCTTTCGATAAACCTCATTGAAAATTTTAGGATTTCAGGGAATTGATTTTCACAAAAATATTTGCCACCCTTTTTTTTCTCTTCAATATTTTATTGTTCAACAAAACCCGAAGCCTTGAATTTCCACCACTTTAGAGACGGAACAAAAGAAAAGAAAAAGATAATTTTTAAATTTAAATAAATAAGAAAACATCCATTTTCCCAATAATCGAATCTTCCATATCACCAAGTGCAATTAATGGATGCATTGAAGCTCGCATGTTTTTTATTTTCTCTAAGACGGTACTGAAGATGTCTGTTTTTCACTCTTATTTTATTCATCACCTTATAGAATTAATTATTCCATCAAATCAATAAACAATATTTACAAGGTTCTCATCCTGTCGACCACGGCTCTTCTTCTTAGCTATAAGAAGTTACTGGGTTTGAAAAATTCTAAATTGGAAACTGAAACAGAAGATAATCTTTTTTTTTGTATTTTATGAGGTTAGGTGGGGGACCCATAACTTTTTATTTTTGTCTTAGAAGGAAAAGTGATTTGGTCATTTAGACTAGTTGAACATAGAAAATTGGATATGATGAATTATATAATTCAATAGAGTTTTTAGTAGCTGGGAAAGAGAGCTGTTTTCCTCGGAATAGAAGATAAAAAGTTTGGAATCATGTGGAAAGCATTAAATGCTAAAGAGTGGGAATCGAAGCTTGGGGTTCTTCAACTCTTATTGTTTATGGTGTATCATTTCAGAAACCTCGTGATACATTTGCTCTAATAAGCTCATGAATATTTTTTTAATTATATGTCTAGCTTAGCCATACTGCTCAAGAATCTTTTCATTTTCATTCCAAATTAATTAATGGTCAATCAGATGTGGAAGCTGTTACTGCTTAAATTACTTCATTTTGTGCATGTTACTACCGTGTTCTCCATGTTAAATTATCTATCGTGTTTCTCTTTTACATATTTTCTTAAAATTAATTTCTCCTTATTAAATATGTTGAGTAGTAGTACTAAGATAAAAATGAGAAAAAATAATGAACTTTATCTTGCATTTCTAAATGAGAAATTAATCTCTCCATTCCGTTTTAATTGTCATATTATAATATTTGAGAGTTGATTTAACTAAAATAACGAAAAGTATTATGAATTATATATCGATCAAAATTCATATTGTTGACTTGTTACAAAAGAAACTATGAAAATTAAAAGGAACTGAAAAAATATAATTTAAAATAACTATTTAGAAATCACAATAATAATTTGAGACGAATGGAGTACTGCTTTTGTTTTCATCTGGGTCTTCTCATTATTTGCAACAGTTATTTCAGCTTTGCGTGGACTAATTCAGTGGTTTTCATTAATATCTTGGTTGCTGGTTGTTTGTTGCTTTCATTTTGTTTTCCTCCCCAAATTAAAGAACTTCTCATTATTTTTTTCCAATTTATATTTTATGGGGGGATGTTATGGAAAATATTAGAATTTGCTGCTACAAATATTGGATTATTCAGTTGTCTTGAGGGTAGTATCGGCTACGGTCGAAGAGTAAAACTGAAGGAAATATCCAACTTTTAGAACTCTTGGAATATGTGTAATAGAAGGTGCTAAATTGGACGTAATGCATAATTAATTATTCTGCCTAAAAGTTTCTAAACCATCCATTCTTGTCCTTGAAAAAGGGTAAATACGTAATATGCCCTCATCAAATTAATTCAAATTACTATGATTAAAGTGATTGAATGAAATTTTTTAGATAGATTGAGAAATTAATTAACTAACCACGTTTAAATGACGGAAGCCTATATACAAACACGCAATATTCATTTATTAGTTCAAAATGTAAATAACTATGATATGGTAAGTTTTCGCATTAAACTTATCTGTAGGTGGTATTTACATTAAATCAATAGACAATGTGTTTTCAAATAAATCGTTTGTGCTTAATGATTGCTATCTCCGTTCATATTTAACTTAAAATACCCCTTAAAAAGCAATAAATAAAATTATAATTTTAATACTTCTTCCATAGCCAATTGATTGAATTGTTGAGACTTTTTAAAATTAACTTAATTGTTTAATTTTCAAGACTATTTTTAGAATATTTTTTTAATTTTATTCTCATAAATCAGTACTAGAATTAGTTATTAATTAGTATTCAGTTATTTAATCATAAATTTGACAATAATTAATAAGGGTAAAAATAAAAAATTATATTTAACTCATATCTTAAATCTTCTTTTCTTAAAGGATGTAAAACACCTCAACAATTCAATTAATTTGAAATGAAAAAAGTATATATCGCCCACTTATTCATCTAAATGTTGGAATAGTATATATTAAATGGTAATTTATCTCTGTATTTTTAACAGGATAAATAAAAATGAACATCTATTTAAGTATAATGAAGCAATTGATATGCGTTACTACTATATCGGATTGTTACTTCAACTTTAGTAAGTTGACATGATTTGAATATAAACCTATGTGTTTAAAGAAGAAGAGCACCCATAAACACTCTTTCAAGTTGGTTTAGCTCAATTTTACAGTTCTACTAATTAATTATGCCCAAAAATAACATTTCGTATATGAAGAAGTAAGTCATTAGAGTGCATGAGTAGAAACTAAATGGTGGACGTGTATATGATTATAATGTGATTATTAAACTTGGAACCTGTGTTAAGCACGTCGTATTTTATAGATTAAACAGCTTAAACACATGGTTTACAGCCTAAACAATTTCCTTTTTAATAAGAGTCGCTAATTAATGTCAACTAAAATAATGTTTGTCTGGAGGAGTACAAGTCAATTGGCACAAATTAAACCTTAAATTGTCAAAAATGTGGAAAAATTAAAAATAAAAAGGTTTCCCGACTTGATTTGTGTCAATATATAATTAAAAAATTCAATTTTCAATGCAATAGTAATTCTCTTACTTAAGCTTCTTTTGCCTACAATGACTCATGTTTTATGGTTACATCAATTCGTCTTTTTATTTTTTATTTTTCTCCTTTTTTAATAATTTAGCATATACATATTATATGTAATAAAATGTTTTTTACCGATGGTAACAGGTCATTACTAACAATATATTGCAGGGTTCATGTAATTTGAAATTCAAGTGACCTTAAATTGAAACCATTCAAATTAATTGAATAACCAAAGCAAGTTGATACGTATCGAGCGTTAGAAAAATATTTTTAGATGCTGAAATTGATTTTATTAATACTCACTCCGTCCACAATTGTTTGTCATCATTTTTATTTTTAGAATTAAAATATAATAATTTTGACTAATATTTTAAAATGTATTTTTTCATCACATTGATATGCAAAAAAATTTAATTTATAGTACTTTTCATATAGTTTTTAAATATTCAATTTCTTGTTTAAAATATCGCATAAATATAAACTAATTTAACATAAAAAATTAATCAAATTAATTTTTAAAAAATGTAACATAACAAATAAAAGTGGACAGAGGGAATAATCAATAAGATGTATAGATAGAATATTGAATTAATAATAAATGCGCCATTAGTCTGTTTGGTAAAATGATATTGATATGTAATTTTTTTTGGTTTAAATGACAAAAATGTCCACAGAGCTGTTTACAATAAAATTTTAGAAGTACTTTTAGATTAATTAAAAAGAAAAAGGACGGAATAACCAAGTAAAATATAAAAGATAATAGTTATAAGTCACAAAAGATTAAATCAAGCAATATATATATATATATATATATATATATATAAGTGAACAACTTGTGACCTATAATTGATTTTAATGCGTATAAACTCTTTAGATATTTATCAAATACATAAATAAATCAAGAAGATATTCCAATTAGTGATTTTCATCAATTAATAGCTTGTGTATATGTAAAAATTGTAAAACTTATAACAAATAATACTCCTTCCTATTCATAATAAATGAATTTCTACCATTCTTTAAATGATTTAAACTAAATAAATTTTTTAAAGTCCAAAAACCTATTACTCAAAATACCTTTTCTCTTTGATGAGTTTTCCAACGCAATCTCTATTTATACAAGATTATTTTTTTTTAAAAAAAAAATGTATATAATTAACTTTTTAAAAATATATCTCACACCTTAAAAATTTATATATATTTTTTTCAAGGATCACACGAGGTAATTTTTATGGTGGTTTATAAGAAAGACATATTAAAAAAAATATAGACGTTTCCATGTGAATGTCCGCCAACAAACATTCACGTCGAGCTCATCTTTTGGTCTTGCTCGGGTCTAGGGTTTTTTTGCATCGTTACTCACTATTTTGTTAAACCCTAACCCTAGTTGTTCTCCCATGAATTTATTGCCCCTTGTCTTATCTACTACTATATATACTATACTTTAAAATAAAATATTTCATTTGCAAAATTGTATTATTTATTAGCTACCTATAAGTATAGATCTCTAATATATATATTAGTCAAACAATAACGTGAAAATTCATCAAACTGAATTATTAGTTGCCAACCTTTAACGCTTCTTGGCGGTGTCACCATTAATTCTTTATCCTGTTTTTTTTAATTATTATTATTATTGTACTTAATTATTAAACTAACTGTATCTCAAAGATTAATAAATTAATGAAACTTGAAATAATTTTCTACTAATTAGTCCTTGAAGATCCAGCTTTATAATGTCATTTTTATATGATAAATGGACCTCATATTTTCTGATTGGAAGTTTCCATAATTCTCTTTTTAATAATTGTGATTTTCGGTTCAGTTTATTCACAATTATGGGTAGATTACGGCCATTTGAACCCATTAATTTTTATCAATTAGAAATTTCCTAAATACCTTTAAATATTTGACAATGAACTCGATTATTAATATTATTATATTAATTAGTCTGGAGTCATATGATAATTATAAAGTTTAAATCTTTAATCTGTCAATCACTACGGCAAAAGAGACCTATAGTAACTATAGATTTTCTAATATTGTAGCAAAAAATATTTATGGTTGATTGAGTTAATGTCATTGCATTCAAAGTCGTTATATAAAGATGCAAGATTCTTCATTAATTTTTGTAGCGTATGTGCTACTTGTTACTAGTATAGATATCAGATTACTCTATCCATGATATTTTATTTGTGAATACTAGAGTAACTCTTTTTGAAGTGTTATAAATAGGTTCCCAGCTGATTCTCTTCCAAACTACACTTTGTCCTAAGCTTGCTACTACAATCTCTCTCTCTCTCTCTCTCTCTTCCTTAATTCTCATTCTCTTTGTTGAAGTTATCTTTCTGGCACAAAAATGGGAACAGGAAGTTCTCCTTGTGCTTCTTGCAAGTTGTTAAGGCGTCGTTGCGCCAAAGACTGCATCTTTGCCCCTTACTTTCCTCCTGATGATCCCCACAAGTTTGCCATTGTTCACAAGGTTTTTGGTGCTAGCAATATTAGCAAGATGTTGCAGGTACTTCTATAAATCCTTCTTATTTAAAACCAAGTCCTCTTGTAACTTTCTTTCTGATGAAAGTTTTATAAAAAAGGTAAACACCAACCCTAGAGAAAACCTTAATTTTGAGTATGTATCCTTTTTGTTAAAAAGAAAAAATGAAACTTTAGAATTTATTCAAAAATATTGTTTGACTTAGTAGTCATATTTTTTGAGAAAATATATATGGGTTAGGGTCATGCCTAAACCCGCACCAGTCATTAATTGGTGGTTTTAGTAGAAAAAAAAAACTTTGATCTCATCCGCCTTTAACCCGAGTTAGGTCTAGGGTTTCAAGTCCGTATATTGAATAACAAAACTCATAGTACAAAGTACTTCCTGTTGGCCTTACTCAGCGCGAATCTAAATTTTATTGGTCAGGGAGTTTCAAATATTGAATGCATACAACCAAAGATGAACTTGAAATGACCAAAAAGTAAATGTTAAATGAGTTGTTTCTTCATGTTATATTAATTTGGGAACTGAACCCCTTCGTCAAAAAATTATAAATTTATATTCAGTCAAAATTATTTCACGTTTTGGTTGTTTACTTCTTTTTTTTAATATTTGAAGTGAAAATCCTGGCTCCGTCCCACTAGTCATATATACGTATGATATATTTTTTTTCTTGGTTTACATTTGTATATTTTTAGGAACTTCCAATACAGCAAAGAGCAGATGCAGTAAGCAGTTTGGTGTATGAAGCAAATGCAAGAGTACGAGATCCTGTTTATGGATGTGTAGGTGCCATTTCATTTCTACAGAATCAAGTTTCTCAGTTACAAATGCAGTTGGCTGTAGCTCAAGCAGAAATATTGTGCATCCAAATGCAACAAGAACCTGTTCCTTGCAGTTTACCAACAACTTTAATGGAACAAGAATTAGATAAATCACCCTATGGAATAAGTAATAATAATAACAATAACTTCAATAATAATCTTCAGCAATATCTCAGCTTTGCTTCCTCTAGCAGTTCTATAATGCAAGATCCTGTAAAGAGAGAGTCTCTCTGGACATAAAAAACTAAATTAGCCAGCTTGTTTAATTACTTAATTTGGTTGTCTTGTTAATGTAGCTAGTGGTATTAGATGTTTTGAAGTAGTACTTGTTAACTAATGAAATGATTCCGTCACTTTCATTTTATATGACACTAGTTTATTTTATGTTTTTCTGAAAATTATAACGACGTGTACGATTTTATTTTTGGGAACTTTTTATTTTTATCATGATATTTTTAAATCAGAAGTTCAGATGATACCTACAAAAACTCTTCTTTTAAGTCAAAAAATCTAAAAATTTAAACATTGAACGTCGATTTCCAAAATTGAATAAAAAAGAATTATTATTTAATTTGTATATATGTGTTCGGGCCTAGGTCCCTATAGCATGTGAAATTTGTTGAGTAAGAGTTAAGTGAGGCTAAACATTTTCATGGAATTTGGTCGGTGCTTTAGTTTATATATTATTATATAAGTCTAAAATCACGTTGATTTTATTTATTTATTTATTTAAATCAGTTTTGATTGAGTAGCATCACCATATGATAAGGTTTTGATTAGTTCTAATGAATGATTGAATGGATATTATGTATGGATGTTGAATCACTAATTAATAAAAATTTAGTGTAAAATAAACGTTCGAAAAAAGTATTTTAAATGTTAATTTATCAAGCGGTGTAGAGCCCCTAGTAGGGGTGAATTTAAATTCTTTTTTTTTTTGCACGAATAGCCATATCATATACTCTTTAACTTTTAGGCAAATGTTAAGTACTTACTTCTTTTTTTAGCTTTTTCTATTTTCACTTCTAGGTTAGATATGTTGTTATTTTGACAAATTAAGTATAATGGTTAGAACTTGTCGACATTAAAATTATATTCAAAATTGATCTTATTTGGAAATGATAATTTGTGATTGAATTGTCTGAATTTGAAGAACGAAAAAACTTGTTTGGCAAACAAATTCAGCCATACGTGCATGCATGAGATCTAAACCAATTTTTACACACAAATTTTCAACCTTACATATGGTTAATTATTCCCAAAAAGGAGAAAACTTGTTAAAAAATTATACGAGGAGGATTAGTAAAATTGCAACTCCAAAAATGGATGTTTATGTACTTTACATGTTCAACTTTTACTAAATTTTTACTTCTTTACTTTTCTTCTTTCTATAATTGGTTAAGGTACCAAACAAAATTTATTAGTACAAAATTATGTTACAATAATATAAAAAACATATAATATATTATAATAATAATATCATATAGTGATGGATGACTCATTTTGTAACTTCTATATGGCATTGCCAACATTTTCAGGCCCACAAAACTTGTTTGGGTCTTTAGCCCAATTTTGAGTCAAAGCCCAAAGAAAAAATTGGCTTTGCCCCAAAGGAGTTGAGGGGAGGGGGTGTCGGTAATGAATTCAGCCAAACTCAATACATTAGTTTAAATTTGAATTTGTCTTAAATATTCATGGAATGTTTATAGATTATTAAAGGCATAATAAATAAATATATCCTTTTATTTGATTGACCTTATTTCACATTTATGTTGTCTAATTTTTAGTGTACACAAGTAAACATTTAAATCTGTAAATTTTCATGTAGGATGTCACTTACGACGTATATGTCTATTGCAACTTTATATAAATTTAAGTGTTTACTTATATACACCAAAATTAAATATATAAATATGAAATAAAGCTGAGTTAAACATCCTATTTATATATTATTTCGGGCAACATTATCACTCCCCTTTTTTCCCTGTCCACTCATCAACAACAGTGTTCTATATAGTAAGCTCAATCCACAAAACTAACTATTTTATTCAAACAGCTCTCAACTTTATCACCAAAAATATGGAAATTCCTTCACAAATCAATTGTCATATTGTGGCAATGCCTTATCCAGGAAGAGGCCATATAAATCCTATGATAAATTTCTGTAAATTCATAATCACTAAATATCCCAACATATTCATCACTTTCATTGTTACTGAAGAGTGGCATAGCTTAATCACTTCAGAAAATTTACCAGAAAACATAAAATATGCTACGATCCCTAACGTCATTCCTTCGGAATTTGGCAGGGCTAATGATTTTACTGCATTTGTCAAAGCTACTTTAACTAAAATGGAAAATCCCGTTGAGAAATTGATTGATGAACTGATGATGAAACCGAATGTTATAGTGTACGATACGTATTTAAGTTGGGTTATCGGATTGGGAAATCGAAGGAATATTCCGGTGGCTTCTTTTTTTACTATGTCGGCGACTATGTTCTCCATTTGTTATCACATGGATCTTCTTGCTCAGAATGAGCATCTTAGAGCCAATTTATCAGGTATTGCCTTTTCAGTCTTTGAATGTTTTAGCAACGACTACGAAATCAGTGTAATCCCGTAAGTGGATCTGGGGAATATAGAATCTACTCAGACCTTACCCATGCCTCGTAGGATAGAGATGTTGAGCTAATAATGACATTAATTGCAATGTGTTCTCCGCAAGCAAGCTATTGATTAGCAATTTCTATTTACTTACATGTTTTCATTTTTACATGATTGTGATTATTCATGACAGGAAAAATGCACGAACAAGTTGATTATATTCCTGGAATTCCTTCTATTCGCGTTTTAGATCTTCCTACGCCATTTTATGGAAAGGGGCAAGAATTATTGGATGTTGTTATGGAGATCTTCTCTACAGTTTCTAAAGCAGATTATCTTTTGTTCACTTCAGTCTACGAGCTCGAATCTATTGTTATCGATGTTCTGAATCAGATACTCCCCATCCCTGTCTACACAATTGGTCCAGCAATACCTTACTTTACTAGCGAAAAAAATCTCTCATCGACGACTTCAATCGATGAACCAGAGTACATTAAGTGGTTAAATGCACAACCAAATGGTTCTGTTTTGTACATTTCACAAGGGAGCTTTCTCTCCGTATCGTGTGATGAACTGGATGAGATCATAGCTGGTGTGCACGATAGTGGTGTTCGATTCTTTTGGGTGGCACGTGATGAAACTGATCGATTTCAGAAAAATGGATGTAGCGTAGGGCTTGTTGTGCCCTGGTGTGACCAATTGAAGGTGTTGTCACATCCTTCCATTGGTGGATTTTGGTCACACTGCGGATGGAATTCAACTAAAGAAGCAGCATTTTCAGGCCTTCCGATGCTGACTTTTCCTATATTTTGGGATCAGAAAACTAACAGTAAGCAAATTGTTGAAGATTGGAAAATTGGTTACAGGGTGAAAAAACATGAATCGAGGGAAGAGATCTCTAGCTTGTTGAAATGGTTTATGGATTCTGGAAATGAGGAAGTAATGGAAACGAGGCGAAGAGCGAAAGAAATACAGAAAATCTGCCAGTTTTCCACTGCAAATGGAGGATCCTCTGAAATTAACATTGATGCTTTCATTAGGGATGTTTTGTTCCATAAGTACACTTGATGGCCTGATGCTCGCACTCTTCAAAAAAATTCAAACAAGTGCATGTTGAATTTGCCAAAAATAGTGTATTTTTGAAGAAGAGTCCAAGCAACTAAGGTTGATGCAATGCTATATTGAACTTGTAATTGATTTATGTTCATGAGATTATTGTAGGAAATTACTGCAGGATTATGAAATAATGTAGTCTTTCACTTGTCATTTATCTCAGCTCTTTGGGTAATTAAGGAGCTTTCTTTTATTAATTTACTGATGCTGTTCGTTTTCTCTGTTTTATGTAGAAATTCTCTCTTTGCTTAATGTTTATTTTCTCTCTTTTATGTAGAAATTCTCTCTTTGCTTTATGTCTTCTTATAGAATGAGATATATTTGTGAGTCACTCTTATCGTCAATTGTCAAGCTTTATGGTTCTTGCTCCAAGCCAAAGCTTAGATATCCAACTACATGCGGAGAATCAACGGTGTTTTCACTTTTCTTTTATTTGATTAATATTTCTGATCTATATCGGTTGGTGGTATAGACTATAGATAGAGGTGTCAATTTATCATAAAACATTTGATTTTGAATATTGGAGAAGTTCAAATTTCATATAGAGAGGTAAGATGCATTTTGTCTTGTTTGGTCAAATGTTTTTTTTTTTTTTTTGTATTTGGGATAATACGTTTCCTAACAAAAGTAATTTCATATATAGAGGGACTCGAAACGCAAGATATATGTTTAAATGACTACTTACTACTTCACTGTAACTTTAATCAAGTATCCTTCAGATGAAAAGAAAAAAAATTTGAATTCGATGCACTTACAATTTGTAATATGTAATAAATATTTGCACTAAAATTATTTAAGAAGTATATAAATAACTTTATATAATTAATTAAGTAGTTTATGGTAAGTTGATAACCTATTATAAAATAGTAAATAGTTTTTTTATTATTAATTTAGTTATACTAATTAGTAGAGGAGAAGAGTCATGCTAATGAAAAATCAACCACGTCGGCTCAATGTTGAATGATCCTAATAGAAAAGTCAAAAGGGTTCTAGAAAAAGGAATTATTTAGTATCAAGTATTTTACACCTAATTAAATAATTATTTTTCAAAATTAATAAATTAAGTGACGCATATTACTTAATTATTGTAATAATTGACTCATTAATTGATACGCTAATTTGAAGCTATTCGGAATTAAGTAACTTTTTTTTTTATAGATCGTTGCATTTATTGAATATTATACTATATGATTAATTTAAGTATATCGATTGTTTTGATTGTAACTTAAATTTTATTATATTATATTATTTAAATTTATTGTTAGGTAAGGATAAAAATATTTATTATGTAATCACATTGTTATCTTAATTTTTTCTGCTTATTTTATTTTTATTTTTGCTATTATTCGATATATATATGACATTACATAACGATGATACAATCTGTCTAAATAAGATATTTATTAAAATAATATTATAATACAATCATACAACACATATTATGAAACAATACATATAAATTATCCGAACAAAGCATAAAATAGTAAATTAATTACTCCCTCCTTTCGCTTTATTTTTCAACTCTACTAAATTAGATATTCAGTTTGAAAAGTTTAAAAATAACTTATCACTTAATTCTTCATTATTATTTTTTATTAAATATAGACATTTTCAAAACAATAATTAAATTTTTTAAAAAAAGTAAAAAATAAAATTA